TACAAATTATCCGACACCATTAAAAGAAAAGAGAAAAAAAAAAAAGAGATGTATAAAAAAAATAAAAAAATATTTGACAAAGAAGAAATTTTTAAAAGGAAACGTGTTCAACTTTTAGAAAATACTTTATGTAAGCTCAGGGACGAGCGATATTCTGTCAAACGACGTGCGTGTGAAAACGCATATCCTGTAAATTGCATTGCGATGTATCGCTAATTAATGTTGTCCTTGACCAATATACCACGATTAATAATATGAATATAAATATAGAGGAGCGAAATAATTGCGGTTGATTATTGGTAGGTCAAGAAAATGTCTAATTTTCTTGTCTAGTGTGGAGGGAGAAAATTGAAGGGAAATGAGACAAAATGGAAATTGGAAAAAAAAAAAAAAAGAATGAATGAAGACAAAAAAAAAGATTTTTTTTCAATGATTTTTTTTTTTTTTTTGGTTTTTTTTTTTGGTTTTTTCTTTTTTGATCTTTTTTTTTTTAAGGTTTAAGCTTATGGGGAATAGTGTTTGATAAAATTTGATATTCATAATCCAATTTCCTTCTTAATCTTCTCTCATCGTGATGTGTAAAAGGAGAATCAAAACATAACCACTCTTTTTGATACGATGGACATCGCCTGAGGAGAGAAGGGTCGTATTTCGGACAAACGTCGTCTGAAGTCTCATCGCTAGAGGCACTATATTCACTATATCCACTTTTGACACTTCTATTGTCGGCCACCACCTCTTCTTCCGAAAGTTCTTCCAAGATCTCGGAAAGTCTCTCCTTGCGAAAACTTATGATATATTCCAATCTTCGTTTATCATTCATCTCAAGTTGCTTGAGTTCTTCTAAGGAGTAGTTTATTTTGTGGTGACTTCTTTTTAAATATGAATTACTACATGGAGAAAGGAAGAGAAAAGATTAGTTTTTTTTTTTTTTTTTCCAAAAACAAAATCAAAGAAGAAAAAATGATAATTACGAGATGAAACGGGCTACATAACAATCATCGCATGAGCGTATTTTATAGGTCCAATAGATTTTGATGAATGATTTACGTTGATTACAAAACATACAACCTCTCTCTAAGGATGTGAGACTACAAAATTCTTGCTCTGACATTTGTTTGGGTAATGGAATATCTAAGAAAGGAGAATGT